CGCGCCCATCACGCTTCAGCCGAAGGCCAAAGGCGACCGCGCCTTGGCATTACCCACATGGTTCTAGAGGTGCTGTCAACTACTCAACAGGTTTCAGATACGACAATAGGTAATCCCGATGCAAAGCAAATGGGACGCGGCTGGCGCGGGTAACTCTTGCTTACGGGAGGCCCTGTGCAGGACGATCTCCGACGAAGTGCCCATGAGCTGGACATCGCTCACGGCTCCAGCCTAGTGGACATCATGGGCTTCTACGGCACGCTTCTCTACCACGGGATCAGGCCGCCAAGCGATGCGACGTGCCTCCTCGGGTGCTTTGCAGGCGCAGACCACGGCGCGCATCCTTCGGCAGGATGGGGCCTACAGCCTCCCCTGTTTCGCTCTGCGCTCACTACTGGCGGGACCTCAACACTCCAACATCTTGGCCCGCACCGTTGTTTACGTGGTGCTGGAAGGCCTCGCCACCACGTCACCTACCTGCATGCCGAGGGCTCGGTTCGACGACATCAGTATCAAGTGCGTGGGGCCAGGAAAAACATCGCGCACCAGCTGGGCACGGCCACGCGCGCAGTGTCTTCGTCGAGCTCAGCAAGCAGCACCTCGTGCTGTTGAGCAAGTCTGTCCTCTTCTCCAGCACGCCCACCGCCGCCAACGACGCCATCAGCAGGCTGCACGACTTGGGAGCCCCCATCTCCAAGGCCATCGAGGGCAGAGACCTCGGGATCGACAGAGGAGGGGACCGCAACGCGCAGGAGCACGCATCAACGACGACGGCGACTTGCAGCGAGCAGATTTGCAGCCATTGGGCGGAAACTCAGTCCTCTACCCATCCGACAGCGACGACAGGTCACCAACGCGGGACCTATGCCATCAATCACCTACCCCCGCAAGGTTTACGGAGCATCACCAGCGGAAATACTTCGCACCAGACAGCAATACGCGAAAGCACTGAGAAGGCACCCGGCAGGGAGATGCGCGACCCCCCTCCTGGACTTAGAGGGCAACGGCCCAGCAGTCAGCATACCGACATCGCAGCTCCGCCATTGGTTCGACATGCGGGCCAAACGCCCTGACCTCCGACGAGGCATCAGACGCGCGCGGCCTCTCATCCGGCACCGACTTCTATCAGCTCCACCACGACGCAGATGGCAACAGCGACGAGGTGCTATCGACGGCCTCACCCCCACGCTCTGGAGCTGAGGCTGGGACGCGGTCAGAGCCGACTCGTGGGCTGACGCGGACGGCAGCACTTGGGAGTTCACCGACGACAGCCAGACGGGCGACACCGCGGAGCTGATCGACACCCTTGGGAGGCACCTCCGACTACAGCTGTGGCAACGGGCAGCCCGACACTACAATGGACAGGGTTGCGAACGCGGCATCTACAACACCGACCTCGAGAGACGGCTACAACCACTTATCCACCAAGGGCGGCACGCGGAACACGGAGCGCTTCTAGCTGCGGCCTGCGCAGGTACTCGGGCAGCTGCAAGGAAAAATGACATCGGCGTGACAAGCCCTCCATGCGCATGCGGCCGCGACGAGACCGATTTCCACCGCGTCTGGGGCGACTGCAGTAGCCGACGCCACCACAAAGCGTTCGAGAGCTCCGAGTCCCTCATCCGACGGGCCGACGTACAATCCGACACCACCTGCCGCTTCTGGCTTCAAGGCCTCGCGCCCATGAAGTGGACCTGCCCCGGCCCCTGCTTCACTACTGCCAGCGAGACGTGCATTGGCGAGGCGATTGGTGGCCGCGGGATCCGAGCTGACGGTAACGACCCACTGGTGATCCACGACGACGGGAGTGGAGGCGAACGGTCAAGCGGCAGCAGATGCATGCGATGCGGCTGGGTTTGGGTCAGACTTAATTTGGGGAACGATGGCGAGTGCCACCTAGCAGGCGGCAAGACAGGCCCACTACCAGGGCCAAGACAGAGCAACAACCGAGCCGAGATATGGGCCTTCTACAACTGCATCACTAGCGCGCAGGGCGACGTTCAGCTCTGGGCCGACTCCGACGCACTAGCAGCAGGCTGGCGCAACAACCGACAGCTCGGACCATTCACGCAGGGTTCCAACGCGGACATCTGGCACGACATCCACAACGCGCTACGCGACAGTGAGGGCACCATCAGCATCTTCAAGATAGAGAGCCACCTGACTTTGGACGAGGCCATGCCGAGGGGCTTCCCCTAGCACGCCTGGGCGGGCAACCATCTGGCCGACACTTTGGCGGAGCAAGCAGCGGCGGACCACGGCATCAGCCATAGCCAGCTCGACTGCCACGACTGGATCAGGGCATCGGCGGTGCGGGTGCGCGACAGGGTATGCGAGGCCACGCGTGCAGCCTTCGAGCAGCGACCGCTCATGCCTGCTTCACGGCGACAGCAACGCGACGACGACCGCTTCGACGACATGCAGGACCGACCGACGCCACTACCTTCACTTGCAGCGACATGCACACACAACAGTATGTGTGGAGCTGCACTAGCACGATGGGAGTGCCAGAACTGCCACCAGTCGGCCACCAAATCAGGAGCCTAAGTCATCGCCAGGCAATGGATGACATCGACTTGCGCGGGGCATGAAATTACCGCCCGACCCCAGCGCGGCATTTTGATTGGGAGCGACTTCGCCCACCCGTCGCACCACATGCTCTACAGCGACAGCGCGCAGCGATGGCTATGCGTGCTACGTGGAGGGCGCGGCAGCCCAGGTCACAGCGGATTCCGCGGACATCTTCTACGCGATCCTTGCGCTGGCACGCCGCCGGCATCATCGGCCACCTACCCGCTCAGCAAGCTTCTGAAGGGCGTCAGCTGGAACGGAGTTTTGGATGACACGGACTCGACAGAGCCTGCTGCAGCACGACGCGCAAACCCTGGTGCCCCACGCGGTGTGCCGCCTCTGGGAAGCTCGCGGTTGCGGCCTTCCCAGAGGCAGAGGCCCCTTCCGCCTTGACCCATTGTGAGGGCTCGGCGCCCCGCGCTGCTGGCGACAGTCATGCGGCGCGGGCAGTGAGTGTACAACTTTGGGCTCGGACCGGAGGGTTTCGTCGCCGATGGATTCGCAAGCTGCGTCAGGCAAGTGGCTACGCTGGATGTGGGGACGGCATTCCATTACCATTTGTCCCCCCCGAGCGTCGCTTTGGTTCGCAAGTTGCAGCAGGCCCAAACTTCCTCGCGTATGGGAACTTCGAGTAGCAGTTGTGACGTGGCGACAAACGACGTCTACAGTTTTCGATTGCGGGACCCGCTGACATGATGAACCTGCTGCTCCACCCTCGAGCTGGAAAGCTATGTCGTGGCACGGGGCCTTCGACCAGTTCCTCAAGGAGTTCGAGACCTCGGGGGTCCTGGACTTCGTGAGGAGCGTCGAGCTGGACAACTTCGGGCGGCGGGGTGCTACGTGGTGCTCTCGGAGTTCGTGGTCGCCGAGGGGGCCCACGGCGACAAGTCGGGTGACGGGCCTGTTGGGTGGTCGCCCTTTGCCGACCTTAATTCTGCTCTCCCCAAGAGGGCGTGCCCAGCAGGTCGATGAATACCCCGACCGCTGTCAGTCGTGCGGCCGCATGTTCTGGGCCGCCGTCGCCAGCCTCGAGGTCCAGGAGACGGACGAGGCCTGGGGGGCGGCCTGGGCCCGCAGGCCGCGCGGGGACCCGCCGCCGCCGCGGTCGCGGGCGGAGCAGCGACATCGTCGCGCAACGCGTCCCCGCGTCCTCCCCATCTCTTGCGAAGGCCGTACGGCCGGTGCCGCCGACCCTGCAGACGGAGACGACGAGCAGGACAAGGACGTTGAGGAGCAGGAGGCGGAGGACGCCAGGGAGCAGGAGGGGGGAGGAGGAGGAGGAGGAGGAGGAGGAGGAGGAGGAGGAGGAGGAGGAGGAGGAGGAGGAGGAGGAAGGGAGCAGGAGGAGGAGGAAGAGGAGGAGGAGGAGGAGGAGGAGGAGGACGAGGACGAGGAGAGAGGGGAAATGAATAGGAGCAGGACGAGGCGAGCAGGCCTGGGAGTCCTGGACTTTTTGGTGGGCCGGTTCCTGATGCTGGGTCCTGAGAGGAGGTCCTCGGGGCTGGGTCCTGGAGGGTCCCAGGGACCTCGGAATTCTGGGTCCTGGGGTGTCCCGTTGGCCGGAACTAGCTTCTACCACAACAGCACCCCGTGCGCGGCGCTAAGGCGAGAGCCACATTTTGAAAGGGAACCGCCCTCAATCCATGAAGCCATGGCAATTTGTTGAACGAATGCGCGCGGCGCTAAGGCGGGAGCCACATTTTGACAAGGAACCGCCCTCAATCCGTGAACCTTTCGCACATGTTTAGAACGAGTGTGCGCGACGATAAGGCGAGGGCCACAGCTTGAAAAGGAGACGCCTTCAATATGTGAGACTGTCGCAATGTGCTACGACGAATGTGCGCGGCGCCACGGAGAGAGCCGCATTTTGAAAAGGACCCGCCCTCAATCCGCGAAGTTCCTTGCAGCTGTTTGAAACGAATGTGCACGGCGCCACGGAGAGAGCCGCACTTTGAAAAAGACCCGACCCGCCCTCAATCTGCAAAGCTCTGGCAGCTGTTTGAAACGACTGTGCGGGGCGCTGGAGCGAGAGCCGCATTTTGGAAGCGACCCGCCCTCCACGTGCGAAACTAATGCCAGTGTTTGAGTTTGAGGCTTATAAATGTAAGGAAGTCTCTGGCGAAACGCCCGGCCCACCCTTCCGACTGGCCCCGGGGTGCGACTGGGAAGAGGTATGCATGAGGAAAAGGAATGGAGGAGGAGGAGGAGGAGGAGGAGGAGGAGGAGGAGGAGGAGGAGGAGGAGGAGGAGGTGGGGGGGGGGCAGCGGGGTGGGAGCAGGGAGAGTGCAGGGGAGGGCAGAGGAACAAGAACAGGCGGGGAGGGAGTGCGGGGGGAGGAGGAAGCATTGGAAGGAAGATGGGCCCCGCCTGCTCCCCCCCCCCGCCTCCCGCGGCCACGCGCCTCCTGGGCCCCCGCTGCCCCGCCGAGGCTGGAGGAGGCCTCGTGCAGGCACGAGGAGCCGCAGGGGGCGGTCGGACTGCGCCAGCGGTCGCGCGGTCGTCGTCCTCGTCCTCGTCGTCGTCCTCGTCATCGTCCTCGTCCTCGTCCTCGTCCCCGTCCTCGTCCTCATCCTCGTCGTCGTCGTCGTCGTCGTCGTCGGGGGCGGGCGTCGCGCGGGGCTGCGTCCGCGGTCGCGCGGTCGATACTGCCGCGCCTCGAGGCCAGGGGCGAGGCCCCTCATTCCCGAGCCTTGTCGATCGTGTTTCTGCGTGCGCGAGTGTTTGTGTGTGTGCGTGTGTGCGTGTGTGCGTGTGTGCGTGTGTGCGTGTGTGCGTGTGTGCGTGCGTGCGTGCGTGCGTGCGTGCGTGTGCGTGGAACCACCCGGCGCCGCGGCTGGTTCCCCCCCCGGCGTCCGCCCCGCCGCCGCCGGGACTTGCCTGAACGGGCCCGGCTTCCTCTCTTCCCGTTAAGCCGGGGTCTCCTCCTCTCCTCCCGCGCATTGCGGCCCAATTTGCATCTAGCGCGCCCACTGATGCCCGATCGTCGGATCAGCGACCTCTGCCCAGCCGCTGACACAAAAACAAATATGTGTGCGTGCTCCAGGGGATTGTTGGCCGATGCGTTCTAAAATTGGGTAGCACCAGCTGCCCGCGCTTCAACGCCAACGCCTGGCGTCGAGTACGCTTCGCGGGATGTTTGGCAGCTGCACATTGGCTTTGCAGTGTTTCATGTTTCCACCACCGATCTGCATGGCCGTGGCTGGACTCTTTCATCACGGTACGTTCGACTAAGTTCGTCCACGATTGGCACCTCCATCCGCCGACCGCGCCTGCGGTTCCTATGCGCCGCCGAAGTTCGCGTATGTGTGTGTGCGCGTGTGTGTGAGTGTGCGTGCGTGTTTGTGTGAGAGAGAGTGTGTGTGTGTGTGTGCGTGGGGGAGGGGGGGGGAAGGGGGGGAGGGGCGCGTGTGTGTGTGTGCTTGCATGTGTACGTTGTGTTTGTGTACGTGTAAATGTGTATGCGCGCATGTGTATATGTATGTGTATGTGTGTGGATGTTTGTGTCGCTTTTGTTCCCCTCGCGTAGGCCCCCCTCCGCGATTGGCGTTGTTGATCCCACGTTGAAAAAGGTCATGCGTCCCGAGCCGCGTGAATCGGGCCGGCCGCGCTCGGCTCCTCGCTTGACTTTCTACGCCGCGCTGCCGCGCGCTTTGCCGCGACGCCAGATGTATGCGTGTGTGTGTGCATCCGTGCGCGTGTTTGTGTACAGTGTAAACCCATGCCAAGAAACACCCTGCTTGCCTCCAGGGTGCCCTGGGTTTCTTGGGTGTCGACGGTTTTGTTATAGAATACGTGACCCTCCCAAACCAAAATTCAGCTGGCGCCCTGGGGGGTCAGGGTTGGGTTTCTTGTGGGGGGGTCGAGCTCCTACTGCATGTTTGTTAGTGCATGTATGTGTTCTGTCTGTTTCTCCCTCTCCCTCTCTCCCTTTCCTTCTTCCTTTCTCTCCATCTATATATTTCTCTCTCTCTTTCTCTCTCGTTCAGTTTCGTTGTATAGAATCATGTTTTGTTTATATTTCTATGTCTCTCGTTCTTTATTTCTCTCTCTCTCTCTCTTCCCCCTCCCTTCTCTCTCTCTCTCTCTCTTTGGCTTTCGCTTTCAATTTCACTCTTTGCCCCCCGCCCCACGCTCCCCCGCTCTCGCGCATCCCGCAACACTTCATTAGGAGTACGGACGGTAATGGTGGCACGAATATGGCCGCGTTTCGCGCAACGCGAAGTTCAGCGACCTATCTGGATGCAGCGAAGGCGCTCCCCCTTCACAGTGCACGCTCCTCCTCCTTCACTATTTATCATTAAATTGTTCCCTCCCGGTCGAAAAGGCGGGCCAGGCGTTTCTCCTGAGTATTCCACTCCACTTATGACCCTGAAGTTCAAAAATTGGCAACTGTTGCACAAACGGGTGGCAGGTGGTTTTCAAAATGGGGTTTTCGCCTTAGCGCCGCGCGCATTCGCTTTCAAACTTTGCAGGCACTTCACGGATTGACGGCGGGCCGTTTTCAAAATGTGGTTTTGGTTTTAGCGCACATCCGTATATCGGAGCGTGAATTACCTACCCCGCTTTCGCTTCCAGGCAAAACCAAGTCATACCACGCGCCTTCTCGTCAAGCGGCCTGACCAATACAGGCCGCAGTTTGGCATCGTTTGGTATCTCTTGGAAGCGAGGGTGGTCAAAAGCGAGGTAGGTTTGTTTCCCCCCTAGTAAAGCAAAAACTGCAAGGGTTTCACGGATTGAGGGCGGGTCGTTTTCAAAATGTGGTTCTCACTTTAGTGCCGCGCACACTCGTTTAGAACAGTTGCAAGAGTTTTGCGGGTTCCCATGGCCAACGTACCAGAAATAGCGTTCTGGAATGATTCGGCATTGTGAGGGTGTAACATTTAGTTGCGTTGATTCGCGGTGTTGAAGTCCCAGGAACGGCGTTCTGGCGCGATTCCGGATCGTCAAGGCGCAACACTCAGGTTGATCCGTGGACTCCAGAGAACGATTTGTTGGCATGTCTCAGGGTTTTCGAACGGTTGTTTCCAAACGAGGCAGTTCCTTCAGTGGAAATGAACCACGTATGGGGCCCATGAAGAGGGATTCTGGTGGGAGGTCGATTCCGACATCGTTGATGAGGTTTGGTTTTGCGTTGGTCCTTTTCCTCCTCCTCTTCCTCGTTTTCCCCTTTTCATTTGTCTTGCAAGATTGCACTAGCTTCACGGATTGGCGATTTCTTCGCCATTTGCCAATCTGGGGCCACCGCCTTCGCGCCGCGAACATTCGTTTCAAATTATTTCAACAGCCCAGGGATTGGACACGGGTCGTTCTCAAAGAGGGGCTTTCGCCTCAGCGATGCACGCATTCGGTTCTAAATGCAATGTGTATTATGATGGAGGGCCAACATGTTCAACGGTATTGTAAAAAACCCGACAACTCAGCGTACATGGAATTGTTGCTTAGGGCTTCTTTGAAGTGCATTACCATAAGTGCAAACTTCTGCACTAATGACATGGCTGGGGGGAGGTCATTCTTGGAAAGGGGGGTCTCGTTGGATAGCCCGTTGAACAGTATGATCATTGTTTTCCGTTGTCTGGATTGCGCGCCCGAGAAATGCAACGTAAGTCCTTTTCAAGGCGGGGCCCTGGCCAAAATGGCAGCCCCAACTATGGTGTTTTTCAAGGGAGGCGCCTCTGGTAGGACAAAGAGGACTTGCAGGGGCGTGTGAGGAGTAAACATCGGACGGGCGAGGATAACTAGGAGGGAGGAGGTCGGAGGAAGGAGCGGGTAGTGGGGAGGGAGGAGGGAGGAAAGGAGCGAGAGGATGGAGGAGGGCGGGGGGCAGAGGGGAAAGGATGATAAGCGAGGGGGGACGAGGAAGAGGAGGAAGAATAGGGGAGCTGTTTGGGACTATTGTAGTGGCCTCCGGCCAGTGCCGCCGATCCGGGGGCGCTCCCGATGCGATCTGGTTGGTGGAAGGGCAGGTGGAGGAGTGGGTGGAGGATGAAGCGGAGGGAGGTGGAGGGAGGGATTGCCTCACGATGGCCGAAGACGGCCTAAGCAGCCCCCAAGAGGCTTCCAAGACGGCCCAAGAGGCCTCCAAGTGGACCTCCAGGAACGCCCGAAGAGGCCCAAACCACTGATGTCCTGTAGTTTTTTGAAGGATTCGGGGGTTTCTTCCTTTTTGGCTTTTCGAAGGCCCAAGACGGCTCAAGCGGCCATCAAGATCGCCCCAAGACCGCCCAAGAGGAGATTGCCCCGGGACAGCCCAAGAGGCCCCCGAAGACGGCCCCAGGAGGGCCCAGAAACGGTCCCAGATTGCCGCCAAGATGGCTAAGATGGCCCAACATTGCCGACAGGATGCCCCCAAGACGGCCAAGATGGCCCCAAGAGAGCCCAGGGAGGCCTCTGAGAGGCCTCGTGGGCTTTCTTGGGAGCCTCTTGCGCTGGAAGACTCGAAGTGTTGGGTCGGGTTCCCTCTCTGGGGCTTCTGTTGGGGCCGTCTTGGGGCTCTCTCGGAGCGCCTTGGGTGCCTCCAGGGTAGTCCTGGAGCCCTCTTGGGCCGTCTTGGGGCCCTCTTGAGTAGCCTTGGAGCTCCTTGGGCAGTTTTGGGGCGCTCTTGGGAGCCTCTTTGGCCGTCTTGGTGCGATCTTGGGGGCCTCTTGGGCCGTCTTGGAGCGTCGGAAACCCTAAAAGGCGGGCATGTCAAAGTCCGTCAAATGGCCTCATGAGCCCCTCTTGGGGGTGCTGTTGGAGTGCTCTTGGGGCCTCTTGGGGGGCTTTTGGGTGTTCTTCGGGCCTCTTGAGAACTCTTGGAGACGTCTTGGGCCGTCTCAGAGGCCTCTTGGAGGCCTCTTGGGCCGTCATGACGCCATCTTGGACAGTCTTAGGTACATCTTGGGCCGTCTTCGAAATCTATTGCAGCAATCTTGGGCTCTCTGGCATCCGGGGTGGCACTATGCTGTGTTTCCCACGACCCGACCCTCCCCCCTGGAAAACGCAGCACAGCGCGTCCCCCCCCCCCACCCCACCCCCCTACTTCGGCAGAGCCACCCCGGCACCCACCCCCCAGCAGAGCAGAAGCTCAGGAACTGAAACTGAGGCTACATCTAAGGCTCTTTCAAACTCACACGCCGGATCGGCGGATTTGATTGCAGGCCTGGTGGGACTACTTGAAGCGCCCTTGGCGTGGACCGTGTGTTAGTGGTAAAAATTCGAGACATCCTCCAAAAATCGGCCCAAGAGGGGACTCCGCATCAACGCCATGTTCGAATCGCTCTTGGATCTTTTCCAACGGCCCAAGGGAGGCCCAAAAGACGCCCCGGAGAGCCCCAGGAGCGCCCAAGAGCGCCCCAAGAAGACCCCAAGAGACCCCCAAGAGCGCTCTAGGAGCCACCCAGACAGCTCACAAGAACCCCAAGACGGCCCAAGAAGGGCCAAGAAGGCCCCAAGAGACTCCCGGGAGCGTCCCAGGAGGCCCCCAGCGCCGAGACGGCCTAAGAAAGCTCCCACAGAACTCCACGACGCGCCCAGACAGCCCAAGAAGACCCCAGAAACCCATAAGAGGACCCAAGGGGCCCCCAAGAAGCCCCCAACAGGCCCCAAGAGAACCCCGCGCGGCGCCAGGAGCAACGTCTTTCTCCAAATACCTCGTACTGTCCTCTGTCGTCGTCGTCGTCGTCGTCGTCGTCGTCGTCGTCGTCGTCGTCGTCATCATCGCCCTCCGCATTCCTCCTCGTACTCGCCCTCGTTCTCTTCGTCCTCGTCCTTGTGCTTCTCTTCATCCTCGTTGTCCTCATGCTCCTCCTCGCTATCCTCACGTTTACCACGTCGTCCTCATCATCGATTCCTCGTTGTCCTCGCCTTCCTTTTCTCCTTCGCCCAATACGCCCATTTGACTACAGCGGCGCTTCCCGTTCTTGTCCGATCAGGTTTGATTGCAGGCCTGGTGGGATTCCTTTTCGCCTTGGGTATATCCCTTCCTGGATACGGAGCAACTTCTCTCGACAGGCTCGCACGGGGCGGGTCGGCGCCAGGGGGCCCTCAGAACTCGTCCGGGAGGGCCTTCGCGGGGAAGGCTTGCACGATGGTAGTTGGCCAGCTTCGCCTTCACTGTGACGACTTTGCCCTATATACTTCGCGCTTCCCGGCGTTGGCCGCCTTACGACTGACGATCTGTATGAGACATGCCAAGAGACTTGGCTGCCAGGTGCTTGCCGTCGAGTTTGTTTTCAAAGTTGCCGCACCCAGGGCAGCGTATTATACTTGCGCGGGGGCTATGCTAATATTCGCTGTATCGTTCCAGTGTTCACGGATGACCCCCGAAAGAAATCCAGCAGCAGAAGGCGGAGCAGCAGCAGGATGAGGATGGCAGCGTTTGGAAGCAGTATTGCCGCTAGATGCCAGATCCCAGCATGAGGAAGAGGAGGGCTTGGAGAGTAGGAAAGGGATATGAGGGAGAAAACAGGGGAACGTGCGGAGCGTGGCGGATGGAGGGAGGCGGGAGGATCCTCCTTCTCCTGCTCCTCCTTCTCCTCATCCTCCTCCTCTTCCTCCTCCTCCCCCTCATTCTTCAATCCTCATGATCCTTCTGCTATTCATCATCCTCTTCCTTCTTCTCTCCTCCTCCTCCTCCTCCTCCTCCTCCTCCTCCTCCTCCTGGCTCCTCCTCCTCCTCCTTGCTGCTCCTCCTCCTCCTCCTCCCCTTCCCTCTTTGTACCTCTTCCTCCTCGTCCTCCTGGTGGCTCAGGACAACGGTTTAGGGCTGAAGGGATCTCAGGTACTAAGGGGTCCCTGGGACAGACCAGGACCCTAGGTCCTAGGTGTTAGCAAGGTTTCTTGGGGTAGAGGCCTGGAGGAAGTACATGAGAGGGTTATCTTGGGGCGTCTAGGGCCTCATGGGTCTGACGGGGTTTTGAGGAGGGTCTACATCCAACAGTTCAGGATGAGGAGCACATGTGGGTGGGAAGGGACTATGTGTTCCTAAGGTGATCTTTTGGGGCCCAAGCAGAATAGTTCAACCGATTCTGAGATGAACGAAGAGCCGCTGCTCATCCCAGGGCGCTTATCACAGCTGAAGTCCAGGAGGGCTCCCTGGGTCGCTGTGTCCCCAGAGGTCCGCAGTGGCGCCTGCAGAGGTCCCGTGGAGGTCCCCGGTGGCCTCTGGATGCGTGCGGAGGCTGTTGGGGACCGAGGGAAGGGCCGACTGTCGTTCAACCGAAATTCTCATTCCTCCCACGATCCCCTGCGGCCGCTTGCTTGCGCGTCGCTCTTGCACGTCCTGGCGAAACTGATCCTTTTCCTTTGCTGCTCCGTGCCGATGCATCCCGACCCGACGCACATGTCGACCGGGTCTTGCTACCCCAGTCGATGCTGACTGATACTGCCTCCGCGTGGGGCTCCGACGGGTCGGGCCCTGCCGGGTCGGAAGAAGGGGGTACGCAATCTGCTGCATGCAGCCAGCTTCGGCTCGGGCGCCGAGCGCCTTTCCTCGACACATGGGCGCCTCCCGGCGCCAAGAAGCGCCAGGACGTGAGCTGACTCGCAGACCCCATCCTTCGGCTACATGTGAGAGTGATTCTGGCTGGTGCGGGCGCATGTGGGCCACCAGATGGCTGACTGGGTGCCGACAGCAGCGGGTTGCGCGCTCGATTTTGTGCCCCCCTCGCCTCCCTGAAGCCGCGCACCACAGGTCACTCTTGCCCGCGGTCACTCTTGCGTCGGGCGGGGCTGGGACGAGGATCGATCCGTTCCAGAGCGTTCCGGAACGCTCTCAGAGCGTTCCGCAACGCTCTGAGAAGGGAAGGCCGCTGCGCCCGAGACGGTTTCCAGATCCGCGGGAACTCAGAGATTCTCGATTTATCCTTACCCGATTTTTGTTATCGTCCCCGCTTCGTCGTATTGCGTGCGGCCGGCTTCCTTCCGACCCGAGCCTGGGGAGAGCGGGGAGGGGGTGCCTCGCGGTGGCGGCGTCGGCTCCAGCAGCGGCCCCGCCCCGGGGCCTAGGAGCAGCTGCGCCAGCTGGAGCGTACCATTCACGAGGCTGCTCCGTGGAGTTCGACTACACGTAAGAGTGACCCTTCGCTGGAGTGACCTTTGGTGCGGGCTCATTGGGGTCCCCCGATCGCTGAACGCGAAGCGGTAGCAGCGGCTTGCGCGCCTGGGTTTGGTCCCCCCGCGGCCCCCAAAAAGCCGCGCGCCACTGGTCATTCTTACCCATGGTCACTCCTGCGTGTAGCCGAGGAGTGCGGGGTGGAAGGGGGATCGGGGGCGACGATGGGAGCGAAAACCCAGTGGCGGTCGTTACACGCATTCGCTGGCGAGCCTCGCCGAAGACTCGGACCACCGGCTCCCCTGGATACATGTGTTGTTTTCCCCTGGGCGATTCGCCCCCGTAGTCGCCTCCGAGGGGAGGAGGAACGCTCGGAACGATCGCACTACGATCAGATGTTGTTGCTTAGCATGTCGCGCCGCTGGTTCTTGCCCACCACGCTTCGGCGCGACACGCTAAGAATTTCCAGTCCCCGAGCATCAACGTCTCGAGTTGTTCCCAGCCCCCCGCCCCGCGGAGCAGAGCGACACGCCATCAGCTTGCGAGGCATAGCGTGTCGCTGGGGGCCGCCTCTGCGAGACGCTGAGCAAAAGTTCTTGACCGTATACTACCTCGAAGTGAGCACAGGTAAGGCCAACTACAAGTCTGGTCGCAATTAACGCGACACCGCCGGGTGGTTTTTGACGATGCGTCATCGTTGAGCGGCTTCTGCAAAGTTGACGGGCGTGCTGGGCTCTTGGCTGGAGGCCTCCCCGCCCGCGCACCCCGATGCGTTGGCTTCAACTTTGAAGTTCGGGGGCAATCTCCCCGCGGCGCGACTTCAATTCTGTCTCGTTAGTCATCCGCGGACGACTTATGTGCACCGGACCGCGGTGGCGTCTCCCGAGGCGTCGTCGATCCTCGTTCTCGGAAAGGTGCGGTTCATAGCCTATTCGGCCCTCAGAATTGAAGAACTGCGTATGCACCCTGCCGCGCTGGAACGAGGCCAGAAAGAGTTCCAGGCACGATACGGTGCACATACGCCGTTCCGGAGGAGGAGGAGGAGGAGGAGGTGGAGGAGAAGGAGGAGGAGGAGGAGGCACTTTTTGCGCGAGGCACTTTCGCTGGCCAAGGGCCGGGAGGCCCGCTGCGTCCCGCCGCGCGCGCCACCCCCCTTCAGGGCCTCTTAGGCCGACGCGGCGAGGAGCGACGGGCGTAGACTTAAGTCGGGCACGCCCCTCTACAGGAGGAGTACTCAAAAGTGGTAAAAGAAATTGTCTTGGGACGATTTGTTGGGCATGTTTTTGCATGTTTGGGTATTTTAGGGGTGTGTTTTATTTCTCGCCCAAAATCCGCCTGCAGGGCATGCCCGACCTAAGCGTAGATGCGGGCATGATGCGGGCGCTTCTGCCTTCCCCCCCGCCCCCCCCCCGCTCTCGCACCAAACGCCCACTCGCACCAACACGCCAGAGGCGGGCTCGCGGCGCGAGCGCGCTGACGTCCTCCGCGTCGATTATGCCCCACAGTACCGCGTCGTTGTGCGGGCACGCCTCGCGCAGGGGGGGCCACCGCAGAGCACGCCGTGAGCAGGTGCCCGAGGCACCCCACCAGCGTGCAACCCTCTGGAGCTGGAGTGGCGCAGTGCGGGCACGCGCACGGGACAGCGGCGACCCCCTGGGTCGCCCATGCTTCAAGTGGAACGCGGCCAGGCGCCCGCGCCAGTGCCCAGGCCTGGTAGCAGCGCCACATCGTACGCCCCCGCGGCGGCAGGGGACGAGGCCACGAGTACCCAGCTCGCCCAGTTGCATGATGAACCATGCCTGGTCGTACGCCTGGACGGCCGGCAACACCACCGAGCGTTTCCACTGGTTGACAGCTCGCCTGAGCGCCTCGGGGTCCGCGCGGGCCTCGTGACACCTGTCGTCGCCAGCGTACCTGCCACTCCTTGCGCCACCGGGTTCCCA